ATAGGCACAAACGTGCGAACAGTGGTATGGGTCGCCACCTGAAGGGGCACGCTGCATATCAAGCCAGCGCCTTATCAAAGCAGTCTCCAAAACAGAGATATTGAATCCCCCATGTGGACTGTAATTACTCTCTTGCGGGGGATGCAAAGTCGTGTTATCGCCATATAACTCACGTTCCTGAGCATCAAGATCGGAAGCAATGGCCAAGAAATCAGAGTGAGTATATGGTTCCCTTTGATAGGCTTGTAAGCAGATGTTGGTAGCAGCGAGGCCACACAGATTCGATGGAGGCCGGTCAGGCGGATTTTCTACCGAATCCCCTACAGTCCCCTTGCCAAGTTCATCCTCGGATGGCCCCTCGCCATCATCCCTCCTATTTTGTGTTTGTCACGTTGCATAAAGGTCTGCAGTCAAAGAGCGTCGCAGGCATAGTAAGGATGCTTGGGGCGACAAAAGACGGGGACGGGATGTTGGGGAGGGCCGTGGTGGGGAGAATGAACGGGTTCTTCATCCAAGAACAGAGATGGAGGAAAGAGGAGTAAGCTGAGGTTGGGAAGTAGGACGAAGCCGACGTCTAGGACGGCGAAGAAGACTTTCTGCAGGGGCAAAACATGATGACGGAGTTTGTGCGGACGAAGTGGTTTGTGGATTGGGAAGAGCGGTAACGGATGGAGACAAAACCAGGGGAGGTAGAAGTGGTGAAGACAGGGGTGGTAGAGTAGCCGGAAGGTGGGTAAGAGACGGAGATAAAACCAGGGGAAATAACGGCGGTGAAGACGGGGGGGGATGAAGTCAGGGGTGATGAAGTCAGGGGTGGTGAAGTGGCTGAAGCAGAGACGGGGGAAGTCGTAGGTGAGACCCGAAGAGGGGACTCTGCAGGTGGTAATGCAGGCATGGCCACATATGACATGGAGGAACACACCGAGACCAAGGGCGACACAACAGCTATATGTATACATTTGACGATATACATATATAATGGTTGGTGCCCACGTCAGGGTATCCATTGTCGGGCAGTCGCTGATGCTTGACCACAACCAAGGCTAAGGTGGATTATCACTTACAGTGCAATCAGGTAGGGGGTTCTGCAGACTGTTGAGGGGTCAGTGATGAGTCGGTGAAACCCCAACGAAACAGCTTGTCACTTCATTTGGTGTCCCCTTCTCCCTCTCTGCCTACGGTTTACCGAGCAGCTCTGTTTGACGACATCTATATATATAGTCAAACAGAGCTGCCCGGTAAACCGTAGGGAGAGAGGGAGAAGAGGACAACAAATGAGGGGTTGTGGCAAACTGTTTCGTCGGAGTTTCACCGACTCATCAGGAGGATGAACCCTCAACAGTCTGCAGAATCCCCTAACTGATTACACTGTAAGTGATAATCCACCTGAACCCCGGCTGTGGTTAAGCATCAACGACTGCCTGACAACTGATACCTTGAGGTGGGCACCAACCACTTCCCTCAAGGTACCTGCGGTAAAAGTCAAAGCAGACTATCACTCACCCACAGCAGATGGAAAACTCTAAAGATTGTTGGTTCACACCCCATCACAAGCAAGCAAAACACCCACGAAACAAAGAAAGGTCTATCACAACCAAAAAATACACTCCAGACACGCCGCTGGCACTAGAGGCACAACATGGCCGCGTAGTGACGGCCCCGACCTCTGCCGCTCGACCTGACCGGAGAATACTGTAGCAGGGTGCTAGCGAAGTCGTGGTATATATAGTCAAACAGAGCTGCCCGGTAAACCGTAGGCAAAGAGGGAGATATTGTCACATACAGGGCTGCCAGGCCGAACGTACGAAGGCCCCTAAGCTGGCCCGCGAACGTTCCGGCGTTCGGGTCCCCGTATGGGGCCCGAACTTGAAGGGGTTCGAACCCCGCAAAAAAAATATTTTGGCACCTAAATATTATTCGTTTTTTCTGAAATTGTTTTTGTGAGTTCTTTGTGATGCATGGTATCTACCTCCTAATTTTGAAGCCATTCTGTCCCGCCAACAAAAAATGAACAATCCTCAAACATGGTGGTGTCAAAACTTGCTTGCCCGCTCACTAATCTGTTTTTTCTCTCTTTTCACTTTTTGTTTTTCCTTTATTTCAGGGCATGAAAAAAAATATTATTTCTTAGAACTTCATTTATAGATTCTCTATTATGTAAGATACATAAATATAAATTTTCATAGCATTTGTCACAGCCAAAAAAAAATGCAAAATCGCCAAAGATGGTGGTGTCTAAAACGTACTCGCCCACTCAATAATTTCACACTCGTTTTATTTTCATTATTATTATTTATTTTTAGTATTTGATTTGTATTTAAAATTTGGTAAAGAATTTGGATGTAACGCTGAGGCAAACGTTGTTTAGTTTATTCTTATGCATAACATATATTTTTTTCAGAATTTTCAGAATTTGTTTTTTTTTTTGGGGGGTCCGCGTTCGGCCGTTCGGCCGAACGCGTCGAGAGGGGGTGCCGAACGTTCGGGCGTTCGGCCCGTCCCGAACACCGGCAACCTTGGTCACATAACTATGAACTAAAAGAGTGCACTCTGCAAAAAAAACAAAAAACAAGGGCATATTGAAACCATTCAATTTCTCATTCTTCTTTTAACTCTGCAATCAGACTCGCTCTCATTCACACTTCTCACGCATGCAAACAGGTGCGCAGCAAACTGGTGACAAGCGCCCACTCAGAACTCAGAGATATGGTAACCGAGAACACAGTTCAGATTCAAGTTCACTTCGATGGCTATGGCGCCTCAGCGCCCACACAACTCTCTGTTCGCATACCCAGGATCACCCTGGATATCCCACACGCGATACTCTGAACACATACACACACACACTGAACTCTACTACAGCTATGGCGGCTATGGCCGCTACTACCCTATCGCTATGGCTACACTCCTTCTCTCTCGCCCACTTCGTCCTCGGGCTCACTGCAGACCACCTCGCACAAGTCGCTTGTGGCAGCGCTTCCGCATGGCTCACGCAGGAATGAATGAATGACTGGGCGCTGCCGCTTGATTTATACTTCTGCAGCTCATTGGTCTGGCCATTCTCCATGCCCGTAGTGCACACAGTCCCATGCGGTACTTGCTTGACTGGACTATGACTGACTGGGGCTGGGACTGCAGACTCAGCACGGGTAGACTCCACCACTTGCCTCACCACTTGCCCACTTGCCTCAACCTAAATGTGGGCAACTTCGAAAGGCCGCTACTGGGACCTTCCGGAAGGCCGTAGACTTGGCCTTTCGAAACTGTAGCAGCTACGACCTTGACCTTTCTAGACTGTAGCAGCTACGACCTTGACCTTTCTAGACTGTAGCAGCTACGACCTTGACCCTTCGGAGAAGCTACAGTTACGACTTCTAGACCTGACTAAGACACTCGTACTTGACAGGTCCACAGATCGAACCCCTGCGACCTCTGGGCCCTACGACAATCTACCAACTGTTACAAATACACAGGTCACGGGTTCGACTCTAGGGGTCGACACAGATACTGTACACAGGTAAGGTAGGGGCTAGTATAGGACGACCCATCCTCTCCGCCCTTAACCTCTAGAACTGGCCACGGTCCTCTATACGCGGGCAGTAACTTCTGCGAGATGTTCTCCTCAGGTGCACACTCTTTAGACTTGACTCAGACCAGGTCGCCTATCTGAAACTGCGATGGGCGACGGTGCTTATTAGCCTGTTCTATCATTCGGTGTTGGGCCTTCCTGAGGTTTTCAACAACAGTGGCTATCTCTTTCTCGTGTTGTATCACGAACTCCCTAGTACCGGGCGGTAGCCTGTGAATCTGATCCCGGTTAAGTCCCTCAAACGGTCTACGTGGTCTAAAGGACTTGTGCAACTCGTTGGGAGTGCGACAGGTGGACAAATGCACGCTGTTATTGTATGCGTTGGCTACCTTGGGCATTGACATGATCTGGTCTAATGTACAAGCGCAAAACTTGCTGCAGGATCTTGTTCATCTGTTCTGTCTGACCGTTAGTCTTTGGATGGCCGCCAGACGACATTAAAAACTTAGATCCATATTGTATGCGTTGGCTACCTTGGGCAACATCTCGTCCCAATTGACATGATCTGGTCTAATGTACAAGCGCAAAACTTGCTGCAGGATCTTGTTCATCTGTTCTGTCTGACCATTAGTCTTTGGATGGCCGCCAGACGACATTAAAAACTTAGATCCATAGACCCTCATCAGCTCCTGCCAGTTCTGGCTGGTGAAGCCACTATCTCTATCGCTAACTATGGACAACGAGACTCCATGCTCACTAACCCAAAAATCGAAAAACTTATGGATCACTAACTCTGTACGGGCCTCTGCAGGCAAAGGAACAAAGACAACACACTTGCTAAATCTATCAACTACAACCATGACTTGGCTCTTGCCGTGCCTACTCTTGACGCCGACGTCCATAAAATCAATGGACATTGAATCTCCTGGCTGATCAGGAATAGGCAAGGGTCTGATAAGACATAGAGGGGCACGCGTCGTAGTCTTGTTTCTCTGACAGACTTTGCAACTGCGGACATACTCTATGCAGTTGTTTTTCATTCCTGGCTAGGTATACGCGTGCATTAAGTTGGCTAAGGTCTTCTGCCAACCAAAATGTCCCTCCGTGTCGTGACATTCCCCTAAGATCAAACTACGGATCTCCTCACTATTGGGAATGCAGAAGCAGTCTCCTACATTGGTCTTCTCAAATAACAGACCCTCTGTAGTGCGGTAGTCTGGTTTGGTCTCTGGGGCCTCCTTGACTCTCCTGAGGAGGTCACTATAGATAGGGTCATGCGCATACGACTGTCTAACTTTCTCTTGCAGGTCACTCCCTATATCCAGATTGTGAACTATAGCTCCAAAGTAGTCTGACCTCCTACTTAGAGCATCCGCAACTACGTTGTACTCGCCCTTAACTGGCTTGAGCTCAAAGTCGTACTAGTCTATCTCAGCGACCCACCTAGTTAACTTCGGTGTCATCTTGGCCTGCGTCTTCAGCCATCTAAGCGTCTCATGGTCTGAATACACCTTGAAGTGCCTCCCAAGCAGGTAATGCTTCCTGTGCTCTAAGCTTGCCTGAGAGCTTGAGTTCTCTCTCGTACGTCGAGGTAGCAACCTTCTCTGAGGGCATCCTCGCTGACATGAACTCTACGGGTCTGTAGCCATTGTCGTCGTCTTCCTGTAACACGACGCCTATACCATACTGACTCGCGTCCGTAGTGACGACAAATGGCAAAGATGGATCTGCTACTTTGAGGACAGGGTACTCGATTAACGCGCGCTTTAACTTCTTTAGCGCAGACGTACAGTCCTTATCCCACTGCCAGATTGCCTCTTTCTTGAGCAACCTGCGAAGGGGAGCGGCGATAGTCGAGAAGTTCATCACGAACTTCCTGTAATAGTTAGCTAGGCCTAGGAACGACCGCAACTCTGTCAATGTGCGGGGCGTCGGCTTGTCCCTAATTGCCGCTATCTTACTGTCCTCAGGTTTAATGCCATCTCCGTCTATCACGTGGCCCAAGTACAGGACTTGTGTCTTTGCCCCCTCGCACTTCTTCGCATTGATCTTGAAGTTAGCTTCTCTTAGCTTCCCCAAGACCTGCCTCAAATGACCCTGGTGCTCCTTGAGGGTCCTACTGAAGACTAAGATGTCGTCTAAATATACTACGACGAATTTATCTAACCAAGGCTTAAACAGATCATTCATACATCGCTGAAATGCAGCTGGCGCATTGGTCAGTCCAAAGGGCATCACTATGAACTCATAATGCCCATAACGAGTCCGAAATGCAGTCTTGTACTGGTCATCAGGAGGGACCTATACTGATGATATCCGAACTTCAAATCTATCTTTGAGAAAAATTTACAACCCTGTACCCGATCTAAGAGATCGTTTATCCTGGGCAGTGCTTCAACATTCTTAACGATAATCGCATTTAGACCCCTATAGTCTTATACACATGCGCAATTTTCCTTCCTTATAGGGACAAACAAAACTGGTGCTCCAAAAGGAGACGAACTGGGCCTAATCCAACCCTTCTGAAGGGGCTCGTCCAACTGCTTGCGCAGCTCCTTTAACTCTCTAGGGGACATCCTGTAGACGGCTCCCTTAGGAGTCCTACTGCCAGGCTCTATCTCTATCCTCTGCTGGATCGGCCACGGCACTACTCCTGTCGGCGGCTCAGCTAAGTCTTCAAACTCTTCCAGCAGCTTGGCAATGGCTGGATCCGTGGATCTATCCTCTTCTTTAGGCTCAGTGACAGGTCTGACATATACTACAAAGACCTGGTCCTCTAACTGCTCCTTTCTCACTAGTCGCGCGAACGCGGGAGCACTGAGACAGCAATGTGCCAACGAGTTATCTACTCTTGACACATGGAATAGGCGGGCAGTCTTAACCTCGCCAGACGGACTAGGGAGCCTACACTCGTGCTCTCTCAAGTGGAGTGTGGCCCCTGCTGCCTCTCCCCAGTCCAGGCCTAGGACTATGTCAAACGGAAGGTCATCCTGTACAAGGAGAGTCGGGGAATGGATAACTTTCTCCACCTTCCCATCTTTCTCCAGGCGGAAGTACGCCTGAACTCCCTCTACGTAGTCCTCAACACGCATAGTGCGGTTGTCTGCAAGGACAGTAACTATGGGGTCTTCTAACTTTTGGACTTTCAATCCTAGCCTCAACTTCTTCAGCGCTTTGCAGCTAATATAACTGCGAGTAGCCCCTGAATCTATAAGGGCCCCAACTCTACTCCTAAAGACCTCTACATCAACTAAACACTAGCTGCCCTTTACTATCTTTCTTCATATTGGCCCAGACAGGCATTCTCTCCTTCAATTCCTCTGCCACGCATGTGAGGGACGTGCCTAGAGAGACACTGACACAAGCAGTCTCTGGACAGCTAACTAGGCACGGGCCTGCAACCTCTGTCGAAGGCTCATGTGGTGTGGGAGTTTCCTGTACGCGCGCGCTCGCTTCCCCACATGGCCTAATAGTAGGGGCAGTTGCGACCCCTACCGGCGGCTGCTTTTTGACTCCTGGGCAGCCCAACGGGCCTGTCTATATTTCGTACAATATTTTATTATATGGGCCGGGTCACCACAATAGATGCACTGCCCCTACTCCATGCGTTGCTGCCAGACTCTCTGCTCTAGGCCCAGATCTTCCCAGGGTCGGCCTTGCGGCCAACCTGGGTGCCAACCTCCTCTCCTTTGAGGTGATCCTCCACCTCCTCTCTGCGGGGACCGACTGGGACCTTGACGATTTGGCGGGGGACCTTGACCCCTACCTCCCTCTTGGTGGTTCCTTTGGCCGCCAACCCCCTGACCGCCCGATCCTCGGCCTCCCGTGGCCTGGCCCCTTTGGCCCTGGCCTCCTCCTCGAGGCCCCACTCAATCTGACTATACGGGACCTCGTCAGTACCACCTTCTTCCAACGTAAGGATCATATGATCCTTGGCCCTGATTTGGCCAGAGATGGTACGGCCTTTCCACTTCTTTCCCTTATCTAAGTCTTTGTGCCAAAAAGTGGAAATTGGCATCGACTTGGCTTCAAACAAGACCACTTCCCTACTCAATGCACCGTATGTGATGTTGGGTTGTTGGGTCTTGTCAAAGAAGTGCCTTCGTAAGGGCTCTGGCATTGCACGATAAAACAACTGAACCAATTGGGTTTCAGTGACCCCATGGTCCGGGACGGCTACCAAGTCGTCCATGACAGCCTTGAGTGCTCTCGCACTCCTCCACTGTCGTGAACGGATGGTTTGGAGCTTGTCGGAGGCCCTGACGCCTCTAGTGACGTCAGCAAACCTCTCGCGCAGGAGTTTTGAGGAAACTGGCGAGGGGGGTAAGCCTGGAATATGCGATCCTGTTGTGCTCACAATCTGCGGCACGTGCGAGGGACCTGGCGAAGCTAGCCGCTTCATCCTTTAGAGCGTGGAAGGCGACGAGGACTTCTTCCTCGGGGGCAATATGCTGTAAAAAGACATATGTATTTATACTAGCCTCCCAATTATCGAAGTTTCCTCTTTCTTCCCGCTATATGGGTCACATGATTTTAACTTGACTGGCTCTTTGTGGGGACGCGCCGTGGCCTCTGTTGTGGCCACAATTTTGGCGGTCTCAATGGCACCGGCGCAGAACTTGTCTACGCCATCCCTCAATCTTCTAATTTCAGACCCGACGTGGCCCACCACGTCGCTCGCAAACTCCCTGAACCCAGATCGCATTGCTTGCAGGGTCACCTCTTGACCCTTACGGGCCTGGTGCGCCTCCAGCCAGGCCTCACTCAAGACTTCCAGGAAGCCCATCATCTTGTCTAGCTTGGCAAAGACCTCTGTTTGGGCTTGCAACTCCTGCCTGCCGGTTCGCACTCGCTCAACCTCCACGGCTATTCTGCTGGCTTCCTTCCTCCTCCTCTTCTTCTCCCTCATCATCTTCAACTTCCACTCCAACTTTTTCTCATCCTCTGTCGCTTGACATTCCAGGGGATCCTCTATCAACTCCAGTGCCCTGGCAAACGCCTCCCTCTCCTCCTGTGACACATATAACTGTGTCTCTTCATCTTCTCCCAACGATAAATTAGCCACCCATTCACTGATCTTCTTCTCCCTCCATTTGTCCTCCTCCTTCGTGCCACTGACTTCTCCTCTCTCTTCCCCACACCTTCTTTCAAGGGGCTCTCCTTCTTCTTCTTCCTCCTCTTCTGCTGCTGCTTCTTCCTCTGCAGCCCTTCTCTTCTCTTCTTCCTCTCGCTGTAACATCATTATCTTCTCTTCTGAAACCTCAACATCTCTTCTTCTAACTGCTTCTTCTTCACCGCCTGCTCCTCTGCAATAGCCTTTAACTTCGCCTGCTTCAGGAACTCCTCTTTCCTCTCCCTCAGGATGGCGGCAATCCAGGCCTGCTCAGCCTCGGATTGGGGGGCAGTACTCTTCCCACTACGGGTGTCAACCATGGTGATTGGCGCACAACCAGACAACGGTTCCTCTCCTCACCACTTAGACTCTACTCTCCCTGACTGACTCACCTACTAACTCAATCTAAGGACTTACAGAATCCCGACAGGTTCTGTCAACTAGGGTCTCTAGCCTAGAAGGCTAACACTACAAGACCTGTTGCTGATCAGGAGGCATTTAAGGAGATCCCCCGTAACTCCTCAGGAATTATTTAACGTCGCAGACAAAACGACGTGATCAGCAGGTCTTCTCAAGACATAGACGGCCTGTTGTGCAGCCCACAGCTCAGATTTTGGGCCTACCGTGCCACACCGGGCAGCCCACTGGTCAGTACCAGTCCTTGGGAAGGTTTGTGTCCTCCGGGACAGTCAAGTTGTCAGACACAGTCTTTAGCCCTACTCAACCCGTGTGGGTTTGGTCAACAAGGCCCTATCCTTCATCCACAAAGTTCCTATCACTTGGACAAAAGAGACTCGATGCAGAAAGAAGAGACAGACAAACTTGATTCAGCAAGTACCACAGGGTGTGTGCACATCCATAGGGCGAGGGGATAGGCTGAAGGCTTGGCGAGATTATACCGGGTCCAACTTGGTCAAACTCGTGGTTAACGACCTTGGTCAACGCTGCAGTCAACCCCCCGTCAACTCCCGGTCAACCCCGGTCAACACCTCCGGTCAACTCCCGGTCAACTCCGGTCAACCCCGGTCAACACCTCCGGCCAACTCTGGCTATGGCGGTCGGCTTCACCTTCGTCGCCACCCTTCTCCTTCCTTCTCCCTACCTCGCCTCCTTTCTCTTCACCCTGGCTGTCTTCTTTCTCTCTCACCTCTTTTTTTTTTTTTTTTTTTTTTTATCGTCTCTCCCTTCTCCTCCTCGGCTATGGCTTCTTTCACCTTCCTCAGTCTCCTCCTCCGTCTTCTCTTTCACCTTTCGTTTCTCTGTGGTCGAGCTCCGCGGCTATGGCCGCCGCCTCCTTCCCCGTGGGACTGCACGGCACACTTCACAGGTAAGTGACAACCAAACTTGTATCGCTCCTCTCTCTCTCTCTCTCTCTCTCACCGTAGCAATTTCTTCAACGCTCTCTCTCTCCCTCTCTCTCTCTCTCTCTCTCTCTCTCTCTCTCTCTCTCTCTCTCTCTCTCTCTCTC